AATCTGAGAAACAGGATCTGTTCCACTTAGCCTGTGATCTCAGCCCATGAGATGAAAAGCGAAAAAGGAAGGAAGGAAGGAGGAGAGAAGCCTGGGAGCTGGGCTGAGACAGTTTGAAGCCTCTCCCTGCTACCCTGCATGGTCCAGGGAGCTGACCTGGGTCCTCAGACCTACCCTGCAGCAGGGAGCACAGGAATGGGGTTACTAGTCTGCTCCTGCTGTGAGGGCCACTGCGGAGGCAGGGGCAGGAGGCCTGGTGCACGGGCTGGAAATCAGACTGGGTTCTGTACACTCTCAGTGCCATCTGGGCACTTCGGTCCATGGCAGTTCAAGTAGAAATAATTATTAGCTCAGTAGTTCAACAAATGTTTGGGTGCCAGCTGTGGTCCAGGCACTGCTCAGTGCAGTTGGAAACAAGAGGCCTAGGGCTGCTGCACATTTTTTCTGAACATCCAAATCTGGACTCATGTGGCTGATGCATAGTAAGCCAGTCTCTGAGTCATCCGGTTTATTGAAGTAGAGGAAGCTTTATTATCAGAGGGCAGTCCTATGAGAAGGCAGGGGACCCTTCCCAAATCTGCCTTAACAATCAGCCAAAGGATGGCAAAGGAATGTAATTAGAGCAGAACTTGGAAAGGTCTCGAAACTTTTTGGAGTTGTGTGCCCACCCCACCTTTCTGGAGCCACCTGAGGGGTCTTGGTTCATGCTGACCCCACATCTGGAACCAGTTCTGCAACATAGATGTTATCAGCTCATATCCCCTCCACCCCATCCTGTAACCAGCATCAGGGGAGAGGACAAAGGACAAGGTTAATAATCCCTGCAAGGTCGTGGAGCATGTCAGTGGACTGGGCGGGGGAGAGCCTGGTGAAGGTGTAAGTGCATAAGGAAATACACGTCCGGGTTCGATACCACTGTGTCCAACATGAATGTGATGTTTTAACCATGTGCCCCAGCTTGAACCAGCTTACCCCATTATGTGCATGCACTGATGATAGGTCTATCATAAAGCACACACAGGAAAGAAAATATGAATGAGATCAATAACAGTAGGCTCTAATGGTTCTTCCCACACTGCCAGTTGCATTGCATACAGCCCACTTCAGGGAGCATCAGTATGGACTGCTGCCTTTGTTTCGAACCTCCACCTTCCATGGTAGCTTTGGAAAGTGGATCATTTTTGAGTTGGGGCTGCCTATTTGATGAATGGAAGGTATGAAAGAGGAAGGCAGGCTGGCAGATGCTGAGCACACATAATTGGTTAGAATGTGGACCCAGCAAAGTCTGATGGCCATCATTCTTTCTCCCTCCACCCTCCCGGGAAGGTGCCTTGGATGCTGCCATGGTATGCTGCCGTCCTGGGGCTGCGGTCAGGCGGCCAGGGCTGGGGCAGGGGTGTTGCTTTTCAGTCCCTTTATTGTTTTCATAGACTTTCATTGATATTGTGTCTAATAATCCCAGCAACCATCCAAGATGAGGGATCCTTTCCCCACTGGGATAGAGAGTGGAGGCCTCAGCAGAGTGTAAGGAGCACTGGAGCCAGGACCTGAACTCTGCTCTGCTACCTGGCTGCTGCCTCCTGAGAGAGCTTTCCTTTGCATCTGCCTTCTCCTGGAGGAGCAAACCAGTAAACATGCTCCACACCTCTGACTCTTGGTTCAGCATGTGCCCCTTTTCTTCTGAGTGAGAACTTGGGCTCTAGGCCCCTGCTTCCTTTGGAGTCTGCGGTGGAAACTGTCACCAGCGTTTGGCCTCCATTACTCAGGTGTAAGTAGCGCAAGAGGAAGTCCTAGTGTCCAAGTGTAAGGTCTTTGCCCATGAGTTCAAGGGGAGTCCAGAACATTGGAGGCTTCCATTTTCTCTGAACTTTCTTTTCCCTTGGCCTGCTCCCTTGTGACAGTCACACCTGGGTGGGGATTGGGGGCCAGGAGCCCACAGAGTTGGCTGACTTGTCCCCTCCCCATCTAGGTCTTTCTGGGCTGTGTCCTTTGCCCTTGGCCCAAGAATTTGCCTTTCTGCCTTGTTCAGCCCTGTTTCAGCGTGTGCGAGAGTGGCTGGCTGTATAGGTGTTAATCTTCCTGCTCAGAGGGTGCCGCCAGGTGAGGGCTCTGGGAATGCTTATTCAGTGTGGCCAGGGATGAGGCCCCTGGAGTACTTGATTAGAGGCAGGTAAAATCTAGAAAGTTAATCTTCAGGCAGGGCATTTACCTCATTTCTTAGTTGTTTATCCCTGGTCTCTTGACGTCTTGTTAATACAAAAACCACAACCTCTTTGTAATAGTTCTATATCCCCTTTTACTCTTTCTGCTTCAGGTACTTCTGTCTAGTTCACCCCTTCCTAGCAAGGAAGGAGAAATCTGGTACGGGGATGTTCCTGGACAAAAGGCTGGGCTAATGTTCATAAAAGGGCCTGGAAGGTCCAGGAAGACAGCCCAGAGCAAGAGCTCCCTGTCCCTCCCCTGCAGGGGCTCTCTCTGGGCTTCTTCCTGCTTTTCCTTGCCTGAGGAACCAGAGCCTTTGTGAGTCTCCTTGACGACAGGATGGATAAGTTAAAAATAACCTTGTGCTGGGGCCTCTTTGTGTGTGCGCATGCATGTGAGTGTGTATGCTCATGTACAGGCATGTGCCTTTTGCCTGCTGTCCTTGATCTCAATCACTGTGGCTTCTGGATGCCTCTGGAGAGGATCTCTGGGCAGCCTTGGTGGGGCCCAGGTGCTTGTGTTTGAAGACCCTTGGTTCAGGGGTCAAACTGAGATCATGCCATGCCATTACCTCATTATCACTGATGATGTCGGGGAGTGTGGGTATTAAGGTTAACATAAAGAATGGGAAGCTGTTCTGAATGCCTTGGTCTTCAATCAGCCTAACTGAAGAGGGATAATGCTGGAGGTGCTGCTGTGTTTCAAAACCTCTTGGGGTGGTGGAATAGGACACAGCCCTGGGTGGGAGTTTGCATCTCCAGGGAACCCCCCACAGGTAAGGGGGGCCCTTTCTGGATCCTGAAGTAAGGAGACACTTGTGGGACTTGTCCAGAGCCACATGACTCAGCTGTGGCAGAGTGACCCCATCATCTTTGCCTCAGATCCCAGGGCCAGGGCCACCTCTGTAGGTCCTTTACCCAAGCCAGCTGTTTCTTCTGTATCACCAGTCTCAGGAGCACTGGTTAGGGCCTTCTGTCTTGTGGTGTTCTCACAGTTGTAGGTTTAGAAATAGCTGTTACCGTGGAGGTAAGACTGGGGATCTCTACCACACCTGGAATTAACTCTGTGCTTCCCTCCTTCCATCCATAAGTAAGTATTTTGCTGTGTGCCAGGCACAAGGATGTCCTGAGAACAAGGTGCCACGGTCCTCATCTTTAGGAAGTAACAATCAGTTACAAAATCTTCCCTTAAGTCCCCACTGTGTCCAGTGCGAAGGGGGAAAGGGAGATGGTCTGGGTGTTAAGTGAGTGAATGACTGGGGTGAGGTGTGGGTTAGGGAAGCGTGAGAGAACATGTCACTGACACAAAGTACTTAAATCTGGAATGTATAATAAACTCATACAACTGAAAACAAGGCAGGAAACTCAGTAGAAAACTGGCCAGTGACTTGAGAGATACTTCATGAAGGAAGATATCCAAATGGCTGATAAATATATGAAATGGTGCTCATTTCAAATAATAGGGAAATACAAATTGTTAGTTCAACTTTAAAAAATAAGTAACTGTTTCTGTGTTTGCACATGTATGTTAGGAAATCTTTGAAGATGGAGTGAAACATCTTTCTGCCATTTCTAGTTTACTTCATTCTGAATTTCTTACTGAAAAATAAAAGGGATTCCAAGATGCTTAAATGAAAAAGAAGTCTGGTGGGATGAGCACAATGAAGTCAGAAGACCTGGTTTAAGAGGAGATTGGGACCAGCCATTGAACTTCTCAGAGCTCCTGTTTTTTCATTTGTAAATAGGAATCTTTTGCCTTCCTTCCCTTCCTCACAAAACTGCTCTCACAGGTACGGGAAGCTGTCTTAAAACTGTGAAGGGCTATACAAATACTATGAAGTATTATTAGATTCTTTCTAAGTGATTTGATTTCTCCTCTACTTCTCACAGCACCTATCCTAAATTCCCCTAAGAACTAAGTGCTCTGAATAGTAGGATGGTCCCTAACGTTCAGAGCAGGCTGCTCCTTGGCCTCCCCTGTGAACTGGGAAACAGTGCTTTCGTGCGGGCATTCCCTGGCATGGCAGGTCCTGGGTGACAAATTGTTGAGTGAAATCGCAGGGTCTGCTGATGCTGGGCCTGGTGGCAGGAGAGGGACAGGGATGTACCAGTCCTGGTGAAGCCTTGACTCCAGTGAGTGGTACTACGTGGCTTCCATACCGACTGGGGCTCCCCTCCTCCTGGGCTGCCCTCATGTGGTCTGGAAGTAAAGCTGTGGACTTTGGGGAATCCAGTGGGGGGCAGTAGCCTGCACATCCAGCTTTCCCTGAAAGAGCCTGGCCAGACCCACTCATGGCTCTGGATCCATAGCACGTTGTGGCAGGGCAGGGACTGCTCCCTGCATGATTTAGGTCTTGGTGGAGAGTGGGTCTTTTTAGGTGCCTGCAGCCGAACCTTTATAGGCAGTAAACCTGGCATACTTGCAGGAGGGCAGGGTGAAGGATGAGGCCCTTATGAAAGCCAGTCACAGCCACCTTTTGCATTCTTTGGCTACAGAAGACCTCCATTCTCCCTTTTCCAGACTGTTCCTTCCCTTGCTCCCCAGAATGAAGGGGGATTAAGCAGATCTTGGCAGTTAACTTATCCTCCCTCAGTGCAGATGCCCCTCTTCCAGCAGAGAGCTGGCCACTTTGCCACATGTCAGAGCAGGGTCAGGATTGCTGTTCTGTCATGTGACTGGGCCAGATCTTCAAGCCCTGCCTGGGATCTTTTCCCACAGGTCTCTTATGACAGGCATGTGCTTCTCAGTATCCTACTTGCCATTTTGACCCTTTCCTCTTCTGTTTTTCTACCATGTAGGAATCAGAGTCAGAAATAAAAGTAGATGGAGAGACTGCATCGGACAGTGAAAGCCGAGCAGAAGCTGCTCCCATATCAACCTCTGCAGATGATACCCCAGAGGTCCTCAACCGGGCCCTTTCCAACTTGTCTTCAAGGTAATGGACTTCATGATGCAAGTGCTTATTGGGGGTCAGTGTCCAAGTGCCACAGAAGAAAGACCCAGAGCTCTCAGTCCACAGCCTATGGTGTGAGCCCAATTCTGTTTCAGTGTTTGGGGCAGGCCTGCCCACTTGGATCAGCCACAGTGTCCCCTGCCTCTGCCTAGGGCTCCATGAAGTATAATCTAGTGCGTATCAGCAACTACGAGCACAGCCTGGAAAGATCTGTCCCTTGAACGGTAGGGTGTAGGCTGGGCTGAGAGGTGCAGTCCAAGGAGGGGGAAAGTGTGGACAGAGGGATGTGGTGGTGACACAGCACGTGAAGAGAAATGGCCCTTGAGGTGTGACTAATGGGTGGGCTGCTTTTCACAGAGGGGCCCAAGTTTCTAGCTCAAAGTGTAGTTTTCCCTCTCCTATACACATCTATTATGGACATCCCTTAAATTCTCATGGAAGAATTGAGGAACATCTCAACTTGGGTGAATCTGGGGTTAAAATTTTGGTCCCTTGAGACTTTGGTCCCTCCAGCACCAGCTATGTGGGTAGATTAAAAACACAAACTATAAGACCCAAAACATTGTCTACAGTGTTCTTGTCTGCCCCCCTCACATGCGTCTCTTTGAAAGGTTGTATTGTGCAGTGGTTAAGGGCATGGGTTCTGGAGCCAGACTCCCAGGATTCAAATTTACATATATACATGTAAAGTCTTTACTAGAAGTGCCAGGTGAATGTTTGTGATAGCTATTATTATCATGGTTTAACACTGTTATCAATGTAATGATGCAGGGGTAGAGCAGTGTAGGATTCTGCTGCAGGAAAAGTGTTCTTTGGTTTTTCTTTGGATAGAGACAGCTGCAGAAGCCATCCAAGTAGATACAGAAGCAGAGGGCACTGCATTTCCCTCAGGATTGCTGCCTGAGGGCATAGGTGGGTGTATTTTTCTGTAGTCCTTGGAGTGCCTGCCAAGTTTGGAGTGGGTGCGGCAATGGCTACAGTGGCCCTGCTCCTGCCAGCATGTGGCTGGTGCCTCTGTCCAGGTGAAAGAGCTGCTCCCGGAATGCCTTGACCTCAGTCAGGGTCCTCAGGGAGAGCTCAGATTTGAGCTTTGGTTCTCTTAGGGCCCCTAACGTGTTTTCTCCTTTCCCTCCTCTCTAACTTAGATGGAAGAACTGGTGGGTGAGAGGCATCCTGACCTTGGCCATGATTGCTTTCTTCTTCGTCATCATTTACCTGGGGCCATTGGTGTTAATGATGATTGTAAGTGCTGCCTGCATTTACTTCAGTCTGGCCTTCAGGTTTTCTGGTGAGAACAGTCACCTTCAGTGCCCGGTCCAGGCTCCTCAGACCACATCTGCCTTAGAATACCTGTGACTTGTCACCTTTCAGCAGCCAACTGGAGGGTCATTGGCATGGGCCAGTTGTATGTGGTTAAAGATGTCTCTTAATTTTAAAATTTGATTTTATTCCTTTAGCAGTTTGATGAAACTGTGATCCCAGCTCTGACTCAGTGTGATTCTTGTTTTGCTCCTTGTTTTCCTGGGGCCCCACTAATGGGCTTAGAACTTCTACTAAGAAATCCCAGTCCACAGTGCTTCTCTCCTAGTCTCCCACTGTCATGGACAGAGTCAGGTGACCAACAGCTGACAGCTGAGCACAGTAGTTGGGGCTTTTCATGTATGTCTATTCGAAGTCTAAAGGGGAAGAGATTGAGTCCTGGGAGGTTCCACAATAAAAAAAATGAATTGAAGCTTCAGGAGTGTGTATTATTGTGAGACACTGTGTGACATAAAGGGCTGCATTGCTATGTGGGGTGCGGTGAGAAAGAGAGGAGGAGAGGAGAGCAGAACCACTGTAGGACTGACATTGTTCTTAAATAGAATGGTTTTTCTTAAAGGCCCGCGACCTGTTAGTTCCTGTATCCAAAGATTCTAAGAATTGAGAAGTTAGCAAGTATTTTCATTTTGTGTCCTGCAGGTGATGTGTGTTCAGATTAAGTGTTTCCACGAGATTATCACTATTGGTTACAACGTCTACCACTCCTATGACCTGCCCTGGTTCAGAACCCTCAGCTGGTAAGATCTTTAGCCCCACTGGGACCCTGATTAGATTTGGATGATCAGTGTTTGGTGGTAGGTGTTTACAGGCATGTGGGTGGGAGGGAATGACAGCCACAGACTCCCACAGCACCTTTGCAGCCCAAATGTTTCATAACTACACAGGCTGTGGCTGACCTGTGAGGACTCTTTAGTAGTACCTGGAGTCTGGTAGGAAGTCAGAAGAATCCAGCCTGGCTGCACCTGTGACCGTGCTTGCCTTGGTGCCTGGTTTCCAGAGACTCTGCACAGTGCCCCCGTTTCCTAGACCAGTGTATTTCAGGCTCTTGTATCGGCCTCCTAGGAGAGCAACCTGGATGTTGTCAGTGCTGGTGTTGCTATCTCTGGAACTTGCTTTCCTCATCCTTAAAACAGTGGTTTTCCAGCTGTGGATTTGGGACTGAGGTGCCCTAGGTGCCAGAGAGAGCAGGAGCATGGCTGCATGCAGAGGCTCTGCATCCTCAGAGAAACTCTGCCTTCTCCTCCTCCTGGGAGAGGGCCTGGCTGGCTTAAAGCTAAAACAAAGTCAACACCCATAGAATAGATGGGTGTTGATCCTGATCTGAAACTCTGCCTTTTTGGCCATGCTGTGCTCAGGTGGTAGTGTGTGAGCAGAGCGTGTCCCCGTGCTGAGGAGCCTTGAGGCAGATGCGGCCCCTCCTTGCCCCACTGTGCTGGAGCTCCAGGCTTGATTCTGTGACTCGGCAGACTGGGGTCAAGTGTTTGGGACCTCAGATACCCAGTCATGGCCAGCGGAGCAGATGTACTCAGACTTGGGCTGGACATGTTCTTGCAGAGGTGCTTCCCCATCAACACAGTGCAAGCTGCCTTGCCTCTCCACCCAGGCCTGTGCCTGCTGTCTGCCTGAAGATGTGGGTCTCTCTTATGGCTGTTCTTAGCTGGAAAATAGTGTTCTAAATTTTGTTAACATACTAAGGTGTTTGACCCCTGACTGTAGCACTGTTCCAATGAAGTGCTTTTCATGTAACAGAAAATAAGCTCAATATGAGAGTTCTTGAACTTTCACAATTAGCTGCTTGCCCCTCTCTAAACATCACCAAGGCTGCACAGGTACGAGCCATGCCTTCGCCTTTCCCAGAGCTCCAGCTGAGGAGAGAGGTTATAAGCAAGTGAAGAGTCGATGCTAGTGAGAGATTTATGTGTCAGCCAGGCTTCAGAGAGGGTGGCAGGCACTCTGAGATGGAGCATAATTATTTACTTAGTGAAATGGGCAAATACTGCAGAACAGAAATAAATGCATGGAAGGCAGATGTCATGTTAGGTTGTGCAAGGTTTTATGGGGAAAATAGTATTTGAGCAACAAGTGAAAAAAACGGAAAAGTGAAGAGGTGGTTTGAGGCAAGGAAGACAGGAGCAGAGCAGAAAGGGGGCCAAGCCACAGTAAGCCTTTTTGATGTGCACACAGGGTTCCTGTTGGGAAGAGTGGAAAGAAGATGGGGGAGGCAGGATGGGGCACGAGCTAGAGGGTCATCTTACGGTTTCCTGTTCTTGGGTTAGGCATGAAAACTCTGTAAAAGGGGCAAAACACTAGTCCCATGTTTGTGAGAAATGAAGTGAATGAAAGCTGCCACAAATTTCTAGATAAATTTCTCACATGTGTTGTCACTGGAGAACAGGCAGCTGTGGTCTGCTTGTCCCTCTGAGAGGTGCCCCTGGGGTCTTGAGAATGGGGTGGACTGCTGCTGTGGTCCTGGGCCTTTCTGGCAGCTTTGCTGTAAAGAGAGGCCATGTGTGCTGCGCTGTGGCAGTGACCTCTCTTCATTTACAGGTACTTTCTACTGTGTGTAAATTATTTCTTCTATGGTGAAACAGTGACAGATTACTTCTTCACGCTGGTCCAGAGAGAGGAGCCTTTGAGGATTCTCAGTAAATACCACCGATTCATTTCCTTTACCCTCTATCTAATCGGTAAGCATGGAGAAGTTTTACTAGTTCTTGTGTCTGTCTTCTGGTTTTTGTATGTCTTCTGAGTAGGAGTTGGGAAATTTCTTGGTTAATGTGAAGTTTTGATGATGGTAACTGAATGTGGGGGGAAGCAGAAGCGAGGGCTCTGCCTCACGTGAGCTGTGACAGCCCTTATTTATAAGAGAAATGAGACAAAGGGGCTTGTGTGGCTGTGGGGACTTCAGTCTATGCCGTCTGTCCTTGTGCTATAGCATAGCACAGCTCTGTTCTGACTTCCCATTGGCAGAGATTCTGTGGTGTGACTGAAACAAAGACCACGCAGAATCTTGTGTATACAAACAAGTGGCCATCTTCAGGGAGTCATCTTAGGAGGCTGCGTGAGAGACGCTGCAGTGTGGTGGACATTTACAGATTTGGGTTTAAAAAGACTGTGACTTCCGAAGAGCTGGAAGCTTTATCTTTGAACCCAGATCTTTTGTAATCTAGAGGTTAAACAGCAGACTTACTGTTTGACTATAATCAGATACATTAAAGCTTGACAAAGAGTAAAATGCTGTGTTAATTCAAATTCAGTTAACTCTGGGTACTAGTTCTAATAATGCTGGTATTTTTCATAGTTGCCCTTAAAGCCAGTTTGATGCATATGACAAATTTGCTCTGACCTAAATTTCAGTCTGACCTATTTTTGGTCAGCTATTGATAGCAATCCTTGATTCTGTAAATGACACCTGGCTACTAAAATACATAATCCATTGCCAAGAGATCTGCTCACATTGAGGCTAGTCAGAAAGCATGCCTGGGAGCCTGAGAGCAGCCCCCTGCAGAGAATTATCAGGGGTTTGGACAAAGAGGGACATGCTCTCTTTTGGCAGGCTTCTTTTGGGGGCCCTGCAGATTTTTTTGCTACCATATGGGTCATTGTGAGAGATAAAAGGGTGGCTTTGACCCCATACCAGGTGGATCCCTCTTCTGCCAGACTATTCTTTAGGACAGGAAATGGCAAACTTTTTCTTAAAGGTCCAAATAATATTTAGGCTTTGGGAGCCATAAGTCTCTGTTGCAACTCCTCATTTCTGCTGTTCTAGCACAAAAGGAACTCTAGACAGTGTGTAAACAAATGGGCATGGCTGTGTTCCAGTAAAATTTTATTTGTGACAACAGGCAGCTGGCCTGATGGTTATTTATTGGCCCCTTCTCTAGAATCAAAACATTTGCTTCCGGTGGACAGTGTCCTAAATTGAGTGTCATCTGCAATCTTTTAGAATATTGCCTTCCTTTGATTGTCTTGAAAGGAGTCATTTTTTCCATCTGACTGCCTGTCTGAATAACCAACTCTATTGCTCTGCTGTAGAATTGTGCCCTGGTTAACTACTGCCAGGAAATCAGCCAAAGGACTACCACTTAACACAGCTAAATGAAATAACTGGGACAAAGATAAATACAGAATGTCATTCATTTTGCTCTTCTTTCCTCTTCCCTCCTCAAACTAGGATTCTGCATGTTTGTGCTGAGTCTGGTCAAGAGGCATTATCGACTGCAGTTCTACATGGTAAGGGAAATTGTGTGTGTGTGTGTATGTGCATGCGTGTGCGTGTGTGAATTCTTGGCTTAAGTTGTGCAGAAACTCAACAGGCTTCTCATCTTTTCTGTGATGAATGGAAACTGTAATGCAGTCTGTTCTGTATGCACTAGAACCTAGAGCACTAAGGAAGAGCACCCATGTTTAAGTTCAGTGGCTCTACATCCACCCAGACCCAGTCACTGTTATTTAATTTACACCCAAAGCAATCTGTCCACTAGGACCTGAAGGTGGCCTCCAGGTAAGGCTCAAGGTGAAGCGAAGCTTCGGGCATTGCCAACAGATCCTACCTCGTACATCACTCCCTCAACTTGAAAACATGCCCTCTCTGAGTGACTCAAGCACTTGATACCTACTAGGAAAATGAGTAGTACCCAGGCTTTCACTCACTAGCAGGCCATGTGGTCCCTCTTTTTGGTGGGAATGGTAGCCGGGGGACAGTTACTTCCAGAGGTTTGTTCTGTGCCTTGCCACTTAACAGTAAGACAGGTCAGGAAGCAGATACCTTTTCTGCCTGTTTCTCAGAAGTTTTCTATTTGGTATTGACTGTTATTTGAAGTTCCTTTCAGGGTAAGCCGATAGATAAGGTTTATTTTTTCTCTTTTGCAGTTTGGCTGGACCCATGTGACATTACTGATTGTCGTTACCCAGTCACATCTCATTATTCACAACCTGTTTGAAGGAATGATCTGGTGAGTGATGTCAGATGAGGGAGACCTCCTGTTAGTTTGTGGGCATGCTCATGTACAGGTGGGCCGGAATGCCCCCTTACCTTCCAGCCAGGTGTTCCCACCTTGAACTACATCGGAATCTTCTGTAGGGCCAGTTACAACAAAAGATTGCTGGGCTCCACTCCTGTGTTTCTGCTTCAGTAGATCAGGGGTGGGGCCTGAGAATTTGAATTTCTAGAACATTCCCTGGTAATGGTGATGCTCATGGTCAGGACCTATGCTTTGAGAACCACTGTTCTAGACAGACAGGTACAGGGATGTTTAAAGAACCAAAGACAGTGCATCTGGATGGCAGCACATTTGAAATCCTAGAGGGAAAGTTCATAATTTCTGGTAAAATGTACACTATTAGAAATCATACAGAAGAGAACTCGAAAAGATCAGTAACTATAGAACTTTGAAAACTGCCTAAGAGTCCACACCATGATAAAGATACAACTAATGATAACAGCTGCATTGTGTCTAACCCTTCATACTAAAGCCAATAAGCATAAGGAGCAAGAAACAAGAACAATAAACTGATTTCTTTTATGATTGTAGATAAACTCTTCTAAATAAACTATAAGCAAATAGAATCTGACAGTGTGTCAAAAGAATTGTATACTGTTAGTTAGCAGATTTTATTCCAGAAATGCAGTGGTTTCAGCAGGAAATCTATCAGCATTAATAGGAATCAGCCGGCTCACTGAAGCAGCTGGATGATCTTAGTGGAATGGTGAAGTTGCATCTTGGTGTATATAAGGGCTACTAAAATACTGTGGCGAAGACTCCAGCCTCTGTTTACAGATCTCAGAGTGAGGATACAGTGGTATCCATGTCCTGGGGAATTAATTAATAAATATATGGAAAGTGGTTAGAACAGAGACTAGCTCAAATAAATGTTAGCCTTAGACGTCATTATGTTTAAAACAGTGATCGTGGCACAGCTCTGTCACTTCCCTTCAGAGTTTTTGTTAGGTAATTCTAAAGAGTGACTCTTGCAAAGTCCTCCCATTACACTGCTTTAGAATGATTAAACAACAAATGACGTTTTATAGACTACCAGCTCCATTTATTAAGTAATCATTCAGTAACCACTGGAGTGCCTGCTGTGTGCCAGGTACTAGGTATGACTTTTATTTGGTGTTTTATTTCTTGTTTAACCTATTCCTTAATGGGTAGCAAATAGTGGGTGGGTTATTTTGGTACTGGGATTTATGAATAAGGTGGTTTTGTGTACATCAGAGGTATTACTGTCTTGGTAGAGTTGATCATTACTTTGGTTTATTTCCTAGGTTCATTGTCCCCATTTCCTGTGTGATCTGTAATGACATCATGGCCTATATGTTTGGCTTCTTCTTTGGTCGGACCCCACTTATCAAGGTAAGTGGATCACCCTAGCAAAAATGTCACCAGGAGGGAAGGGTGGGTGGCGCATTCAGTATGAGTAGGTTGGCTTGGGGGACAGGAGTTCCAGATGGTGTGTATATCTTCCTGTCATCCTGGAGAAAGGATGGCAGGCAGTGTTTGACAAAAAAAAGCCAAAGGAAGATATTGACAGCTGCTCACAGGAAAAAAGTGCTAGTGCTAATAGAAAAAAATTTTTTTATGGACTGTATAGGCATACTTCTTGATCTGGATTGGAGTATTGTCATTTAATCCATATACTGTCTTATAATGCAGTTTTTTGAATGAGCAACTGAAGCAGAAACTGAGGGGTATTGAGCAGGGAAAAAGAAACCAAGCATGGGGGTATTTAGAAGGTTAGGTGATTAACAGAATGAGTTTTTTTTTAATAGGGGAGGTTTTTAACAAGTCATCATTATTCCCAAAGCCAGAGTTATCAGAAAGTCCTATGTTAAGAGCCTGCTCTCTGTCCACAGCTCTCCCCGAAGAAGACCTGGGAAGGCTTCATTGGGGGCTTCTTTGCAACTGTGGTGTTTGGCCTTCTGGTAGGTGGTGGCTCTGGGCTGGGTAGGGGTGTGGACAGAGGCCGTATATCCACCTTCAAAGCCTGTCCGGGACTAGAGGACATGTCTCCCATGGCCAGGGACTCCGTCCTGCTGAATGGTAGCCTTGGCCTGTGAGGGGCTCAAGCATGGCATACTCTGTACTGGCTTGGGCAGCACCAGCTGCCCTTTACCTACCATGGCAGGGTCTGGGCTGAGGACCAGGGGTGTGTGTACCTTGTACTGCTCTCATGTTGAGGCATGGCAGCTCTCAGCAGGTGGCGTTCTTGTCTAGGCATTTGATATTCCAAGGCTGGGTGATTGGCACCTGAGACTAAGAGGGTGAGGTGAGAGATGCCACCCCAGCACAGATTGTCTCCTCCATGTGCGCTGCCCAGAGGTGGGATGATTGTCCAGCCCTTTCTAGAGCACTGTTCCCTGCTTCTGACCCTCAGACCAGTCTCCCTTCTTTTTCAGTGCTGACTCCCCTTCTTCATTACTCTTGAGCCTTCTTCCTCCTGGCTGTCTTCCTCTCACTATACCACTCCCCTGCGGCCTGCCTCGAGTTTGAATTAAGTTAAGAGATCCTGAGAAAAATGGACCATAGCTCCAGCATATGGGGAGAAACTTCTTGTACTTCTTTGCCCAAATTCCATCAGATCTTTCCTGGATTTATTCAGGACCTGGGTGTTGGGGCAAGTATGTGTGAGGCCTCAATGGGCCACACATACTTGGAAAATTTTCTGTTTTTTAGTGTTTTTCCAAATTCAGATAAAATACACATACGAAAAAAGCATGAACCTCTGTCTCAGTGCACAGCTTGTAGTTAGCACGGTGCTAGGCACGAGGGATGGGGCACCTGGTGTCTGTCACGCAGGTGGGATGGCTAGGATGTGTCTCCTTCGCTGGTTTCTCTTGTTTTTCATCCTCAGCTGTCCTATGTGATGTCTGGGTACAGATGCTTTGTCTGCCCTGTGGAGTACAACAATGACACCAACAGCTTCACTGTGGACTGTGAGCCCTCGGACCTGTTCCGCCTGCAGGAGTACAACATTCCTGGGGTGATCCAGTCGGTCATTGGCTGGGTACGTGCCACTCACATGGGGGAATTGTCCTGTGTCGCGATCACAGACAGAGAGCCCCTGTCCACCGCTGCCTCCCCTCAGAAACCCGAACCTCACGCACTAGCTTCCTCCTTCCCCAAAGTTGTTAGCCCCAGGATGAAGGAGAATTAATGGGCAAGTCAGCTCAGAGTGAGGGCAGGAGACCTTCCTTCCCACTTGAAATCATTAAGGCTATGGTTCTCACAGTGTGTCTTGTGGATCCCTGAGGACTCTCAGATCCTTTTAGGGGGTCTGTGAGGTCACGATTATTTTCATAATAATACAATGATACTACTTGACTTTTGCCATTTGCCTTGGTGATGAGAAAGCAGTGGTGGGTTAATGTGCTGGCCCCTTAGTATGAATGCAGGCAGTGCCACCGAACTGGATTAAGTCGTTGGATTTTCAGGCCACACACTTGTAGTAAAAATAAGTCAGTTCCTCCTAAGAGTGTTTGATGAAATAGTAAAATTATTAATTTTGTGAAGTCTTGCCCCTTCAATACACACCTTTCTAATACTCTTCTTACCAAAATAGAAAGTATGCATAAAACACTTCTAAATGCTGGAGTATAGTGCTTCCCTGAAGGGAAGGGAAGCATATGAGCACCTGTTTGAGTCATGAGCTGAACTCGCTGCTTTTTAATGGGAACATAATTTTATACTTGAAAAGAGCCAACTATAGTTTTCAGACTTGGATATTTAGCAGCCATTTTTCTTGAAAATGATTGAAATGAGCTTGTCACTTCTAGGAAAACAATTGACAGTAATTGTTATCAGTGATAAAATTTGACTTTTGAGTGACAATTAAAATTTTAGCATACATCTGCTACTGTGAGCTTGGCAGCTTCCTAATACTTAAAGGCATTTCTGATAGACCTGTGGTGATTTTATTTTATTTTTTTGGTGATGATTTTAATATATGTTGTTTTGATAATGTGTAAGTAAAATGAGTCTATATTTGGAGATATACACAACTCAGTAAATTAGTAATTTTTAAATGGCCAGTGCATGGTGTTATATTTACATATGGGTAAAAAGAACCATTCAAAGTGCTAGACAGATGAATAGATGTTAATGTAAGAGTACAGAAAGTTTGTTGATAGGATTTCAGATTCCACATTGTGCCAGCTTTTTAAGAAACTATACTTGTCAAGCTCTGGTGTAGAGGTAAAGAAGAATACCCATAATTTTCATAAAAGCAGTACCTAAAATGCTCTTTCTTTCAGCTACATATCTGAGTAAGACTGGATTTTCTTCCTATACTTCAGCCAAAACATCCCATCACAAAAGACTGAATGCTTAATAACCATGTCTTCTATTAAGACAGATATAGGAGATTTACAAACATAAAACAAAACCCTGTCTTCTTACTAATGTGGGTTTTTTGGGAAATACAGTTTAGTTTCATAAAGAGCTTTTTATGTTAACAAGTAATAAGACTGAGCTTGCAAGTATCTTGACTGACTCCGTTGCTGTCCTCAGAAAACAGTCCGGATGTACCCCTTCCAGATCCACAGCATTGCCCTCTCCACTTTTGCTTCGCTCATTGGCCCCTTTGGAGGGTTCTTCGCAAGTGGATTCAAACGAGCTTTTAAAATCAAAGTAAGACAGCCTTCTCTTCTGTTCCTCATTGTCTTCCTCCAGGCCCTTTTGCACCTCTTTCTGCCTTTCACCTCCTGTCCCTCCCATCAACCGCCACCCTCTACAAAATGCCAGGCTCTAAAGCCTGAGTATTAATGTGCTCTTTTTCGCCCATGCACAGAATTTAGGAAGGTTAAGTAAAAATACATTGTTTCCAAGAAAACTCAGTAGTTGGATTTTCAGTTTATTTGTTAATATACCTTATATCTTTCTTCAAAAGGGACATTTGTAATTTAGTAAGATGTGTCCTATTGTAGCCTCAGTATTTGAATAAGTACTGAGAAAAATAGAACTTGCCATTGCCCTCAGCTACCAAGGACAGTAGCTGGACGTTGAGGTGGGACTGCAGGCCAGTGTTTGATCTTGCTGGAGCCCAGGCTCACCAGTGCTTCCTCTGCCCCTCACAGGACTTTGCCAACACCATTCCTGGCCACGGGGGCATTATGGATCGCTTCGACTGCCAATATCTGATGGCCACCTTTGTCAATGTGTACATCGCCAGTTTTATCAGGTATAGTGCCTTTCTGTCTGATCCAGATTGGTGGATTTTTTAATGTGAAATTCTAAAATTTGAGCTACATTGCAGTTTGAGTGAAAAGCAGTCTAGATGAGTGCAGTTTCCAGTCGCTACTGTTGATGTTTCTCTGAGGCCCTGTCCTCTGTTTGTGGGGAGCAGCACTTGGATAATCAGTCCCAAGAGGTTCTGGTCCCTGCTCAGTGCTGTTTCTTCACATTCTCTTTCAGGGGCCCGAACCCTAGCAAGCTGATTCAGCAGTTCCTGACCCTGCGACCAGATCAGCAGCTTCACATCTTCAACACACTCAGGTCTCACCTGATGGACAAGGGGATGCTGACAGCTGCCATGGAGGGCGATTAGGGGCCGCCAAGGCCAGGAGAGCAGGAGCAAGACTGAGCAGGATGGGGCTCCGAGGCAAGCCCAGCCGTGTGACTTAGACAATGATGAGGCTTCAACTCACTGTCTTTTTTTTTTTTTGTAGCGTTTTTTTATTTGTGGCTTTTTAAAAAAAAAACTCTGTATATGCAGTCTATGTGCTTGTGATTTGGGTTGTGAGTGAATTACAGCTTTGAGTTGGAAAGAAGTCATGGGGGTAAAACTGTTTGGAGTTTTTTAAACAAAAGGTTTTAACAAATTGGAAGACGGTGTTCCCCAGCTTGGGAGTGTCTGCTTGGCACTTCCGGCTCCCAAGCTAAGAGCTTCTGTTTGTGGGCCCAATCAGAGTTTGATGTTCATCTGTGTCCAACCTGTTCAGGGGCCACCAGCAGGATGGGGTGCTTGGATGTCTTCGCTGCTGGAGAGCTGTCACCTGGGCTTCTCTGTAATCTCTGCCGTGGGGCTGCAGGCTGGCTGCCTTCCGGAGGCTGGAGGGACTGAGGCTTGTTAACCAGACAGGCATTCTGCCCACGGAATCCAGGGAGCCTGAGCTCTGCTGTGTGATACGGGTTCACTTTATCACAGACTGAAAGAAGCCTTCAGTTATTTTTTTTCAGAGGGCACGAAAAATTATAACAGCCTGGAAAACCGATGTACTATTTCAAGCGTGTGTAGTAGAATGTACTGTGACTGAGCCCTTTCCCGTGGTTTCAGGTTCAAGTGGCTCCTTAGGGCAGTGCAGCTAACTGTGGCTTTTCAGGGATGATGCTGTTTGTGCTCTAGGCATGTTGCTGCTGAATTCTTCCTGGGGGCTTTCCCGTTAGGCAGGGAGCGGGGCTTCTCATTCATGCACCCTTTGCCTGAGCAACCACCCACGGAGCTGCTGTGTTGTGTATATATTACCTTAGGGCAGGTGTGTGTCTGTGTGTGTATTTCTGTGATTTCAGTTGTGCCATGACTTCCTCATTGAAACCACAGAGTCTTGCTTACCACTCTGGAAAACCTAACCGCATTCGAGGTTTGACTATCCTGAAGATTAAATGCACACTTTATATAATGTGACCAGTTTAAATGTAGTTTTTGTTTTATTGGAAGACTCTTTTTCTTCTAAACTGTGATTTTTCCACCCCCTTCCTGATTATAGGAGTGAGGTTGACTTTGGGAAGACTAGTTCTTTGTCAATATAACAAGCAAGGGAGTACAGAAGAGAGAACTTGGTGCCTAAATGAGTTGAATTTTTCATGCCACAGTGGTTCTCATTGCCAACGAGGGTGTAATGGCCCACTTTAGCACCTTGGTCTGCTGTTGGCTTGTTTCATTTCTGTTTAAGTCAGCCTTCTGCCCCCCTCCGGAAAGCTCACAGTCAGCCCAGGTCACTGAAGTGTCCAGCTCAGGGCCAGCCCCTCTCGACACCCCAGCTCACTGCAGAACCTTCCGCATGCATGCAGCCCTGGAGCAGCTTCTTTCTTCTGAGCTTGTACTTCTTCTGTCTTAGCATATGGCTTTTCCCTTTCAGGTCCAAGGCCCTCTTAACAGGAAAATGTGTTTTTACATGGGGTTTCAGTCCTGACTGTGTGACTCTGGGCAGGACACATCACTCTGTGGGTTCCTGTTTTCTGAGCTGTCTTCTAATTCCAGTATCTATGATTCTGAGTGAGCAAGTTCATGTCACCAGACGCTTCTGGTGGGTCATGTCCGGGGCACCAAAAAACAAGTGCTTTCGGGCCTTTTCTAAATACATGTCCTAGAGATGAGTCAGGAGCTCAGTGACAGATCTTAAACACTGAGGTAATTAGTAACAAATCTAGTTTTCTCATTGACGAATGAACTTGGTTCCCAAACCAGGGACAGAAGGCTGCCTCATTTGTCTCTGTTGCCCCGTTGTGGGCATATGGTGGGGCCCTTGGTTGCTGGGGCCCAGCAGCTGAGAGCCGCTCTTGAATAGGGTTGCCTTTGGGATCAGCAGTACCTGGTGCATTCCTTTGTGGAAACTGTCACTGGTGGGGGTCCTGGGCAACTGAAGCTGGAGGCTCACCAGGGCTGCCAGCAAGGTCAGAGGGTCAGCTGGGTTATTTTCTTCTGCTTTCCGCACACACTCTCTGGTGAAGTAAGAGGAATTTCCTAGTTCAGTAGCCAGGAGAGCAATACTACATTGTGTTTGTAGTGCCACACTCTTCTTTCTTCCATTTCTTGAAAATATTTTGCCATACAGTCAAGATGCAAGAGACTCACCATCAAACTGTGCAGATCTTGAAGTCATGGCTTGCTTCTGATCCTTTTTTTTTAAATTTAAGTAAGAAATAAAATGTGACTGAAACGATGTGCTCTCCCTTGTCATGAATTCAGTTTTTCACTTCTACGCATGGTTTTGTGTTTCCCACTTGTTTTTGTATTCACAAATACTGTGTGGCCCTGCTGTTGCAGAACTTCATTTTGTTTTGCAGTCTGAACCCTATACATCCTCATAACATCCTTGTGAGGCGTGTCGAGCATGAGTCACGGGTGCCTTCTAGGTGAAGAAGCTGAAGGGCCGGAGGAGACAGTCCTCCCCCAGGGTCAAGTAGAGTCCCAACTGATCAACCCCATCCCACTTGCTTTTGCAAAAGTGGCATAAGAGCACCTGAAATTTTGTGTGGCATCCCTCTCTCCCAGGCGTAGGAGGCCTGACCTAAGTACCAGATGGGAGCTTAGTTGCTGTTAGCCCATAGCTAGTGGCGTGAGGAGCTGATGAACAAGGGTGTGGCAGAAACCAGGGAGCCTCTGTGGAGGGCTGGGCTGGAGTGTCCTCCCTGCTGAGTGCTTGTGGCTGTTCATGGGACCCCCAGACTTTTCCCTGTATTTGTACGTGCCCCTTAACTGCCCTCAGCATTGAAAAGTACACATTTGTCTTTTATTCCTGAAAGTGAAACCCTCTGAGGCAGCCTGGGCCTTGTTTGTTTTTATTAATTACATTTTACTTGTTCCATATTCTGAGCATTTTGGCAGCCATAGTGTAACTGTATTTAAGATGTATTTATCCTCAGTGTTGTACAATCCTGTATGTTTGAAACCACTGTTTCTTTCGCTTGCAGAAGGGGCGAAATGTAACTTTTAACCTACACAGGTGGACTTTGAGGCCATTTGTATGGTATGTATTTTTTCCCACTGGGGTTTTTGTCATGTTACTTGTACAAGAAGATTCCCAAAATATGTTTTAAGGGAGACTGAACAGACTTCATGATGTGAGTTGAAGTTAGTAGCTGAGTTGGCTGGAGAATGATTCAAATGGATTCTTGAGTTCAGACCCTCAGATTCCCACTGAGCCTCCCAGGAAGCTCAGGAGCATTCCCCAAGTTGGTGGGTGGCCAGGGGGAGGATGTGACTCAGGGTGAAGAACATCACTGCCCCGAAAACTACAGCAGTGACTTTGTTCTTAAGAAGCCTGTCTGAGGTCGATTTCTCAGGGAGCAGGCTTTCATTGCTCTGCCCAATGTGATGGTCCTGGCTGAAACCTCTTCCTCTGTCACTAATGTCTTAGGCACCAAGGCTGTCTTTTTGGAGGGACTTGCCTTTTTATTGCACCCACCTTGATTGTGCATTGTGATTATGTGCTGAGAAAAGGTGGATGGGGTCAGTTTCATTTGGACCTGGGGTTCCCGTCCTCCCAGAGTCAGGGTGGGGAGGAAGGCTAAGGAGGATGTCCGGGTGACCGCTGTAAACACATCAAAGATGGTAAACCACTGGTGGACTCGCTGCTTTTCTGCAGCAGGGGATGCGAACAAGTAGCTGGAACAAAACATCAGCTCCCTGAAGAGGAGGGTGGATCCTTGGGTGGATTCTCATTATTCTGCCCTTGTCATCCTGGTCAAAATAAACTTCCTTTTCCCCTGATCACTCTCCACACATTGGCCTGGCTTCCGCTTTTTAAAGAAACTTGCTTTTCCTTGTTGGGTGGGCCCCTGTGTCCTGATCTGCATGGGCTGCTGCTGTGTAGACCAAGTGGTGTGAAAGTGCCTCCTCTTGATCCTGGACTCTGCTCACCCACATCCTGGGTAGAAGGTGGGCTTCTTGCAACCCAGCTTCTGCCTGCCTGAATCCTTTGAAAGTGGCCCCTCTTTCTGTTCCTTCCAGCACTGCTCTGTGCCCTCCCCTGCAGGCTGACCACCTCACTCACTGGGCACTCAGGTGAGTAGAGGGTGTTCCTTCCTGGGGCTGCCTCCTGAGTAAGGATTCACCTGTTGCACATTTTCAAAGAGAGATCGCAGTGTACAGGCAGTTTGGGAGGTGTGCTTTGGATGCTGAAGTGTTGGGGATTTTAGAACATGGACGGTTCATGATGACAGAGGGGCAGAAGAGCTGACATCTAGGGTTTTAGGGCCGTTGGGTTTCAAATCCATTGGCTGTTTGAAAACCCTGTCCCCACTCCTCCCATCCTCCACCAGATGCCTATCTCTGAGGCTCCTGTTCTTATTCTTGAGGTAGTAATATACCAGCAGCATGTTTATTCATAATAATTGCAATAATAGTAGTAGTGCTTAATATGTGCCAGGTACAGTGCTAAAGGTTTACATACATTATCCCTTTTAATCCAGAAAACCTTTTGATTAGCTATTGTCCCCATTTTATAGATGGGGAAACAAAGGCACCTGACAGGCTGAGCTTATTGGTTAGGAAGATAAACTTCAGACTCAGTCTTTGGTTTGGATAGGTTGCTAGGTATAGCTCTGACCCAGCTGAGTCAGCTGAGAGCACCTCCCTTTTGGGGTTGTTGTGAGGATTTCATGAGATAATGCACGTAAGTATTTAGCATAGTGCCTGGCACATAGTAAGCACTCAATAAATAGTAATTTCTGTAGAACACAGCTGGTAATTTGAACCCATGTTTATGTCATCCCAGAGGCTGGTTTCTCATCTTCTACACTGCACCTGCCCTGCAGGCAGCCTGGGTGTTCCGGGTCTGGGAAGTGACCACATGGCCCTTGTGAATCATTCCACCCACCCGTAGGACCTGGGTACTTTGTACTTAGAAGGCCAGCCCTTCAGAAGGGAGAGACATGAGGAAGGATGTTCAGAAATTCTCCCTTCTGAGTTAGAATGGTTTGTTGAGGTCTTGCCCACGGCCTGCTGCCCTGGCCTGGGCTTTGCATGGAGAAGGAGGCCCTTTCCCTGGGCAGAGGGCCTGTTTGTGACTCTCTGGGCCCTCTGGCTAGGGTCTGGGCTCTGGTCACAGCTCAGACACCTGCAGCAGTTTCCTGTACGGGTGCGTGTCCTGGGCCAAGGAGAGCAGGGAAGAAAGCTGTGTAGCAGATTATAACGTGGACGGAAGGCCTGAGAGCTCTGCTGGAAAGCTCTGTGGCCACATGAGTTGGGCGTTGGGTGCTTACAAGTTCATAGGCTCGAGGCGGTGACCACTTGAGGACGGGTGATGTGGGTGCTCCTATTGAATTCTGGGTTAGCAAAGGATCAAATGGGTGGTTCGTGAACAGAGGAAAACCGGCCCTGGGCAGAGTGGAAAACATTTTATTAACTTAGCTTTCTGAATGGAGTTGGGGAGGGAGTGTGAGGTGGAGGTTCTTCATTTTGAAGAAATGGTGCTGACAAGGAGGATCTGTGAAATTCTCAAGCCAAAAGAATAATAATGACTTAGAACTATGGGCTTGATGGGGCTGCTGTTTCCTGGGTGTTAGTGGGCAATGAAGATCAGATCCAAAGGCCCCTGGTGTTTAAATAATGGTCTCTTCACTACTTAATTAATCAGGTAGTGATTTTGACAGGATCAGAGAATATGGCCATGGGAGTGTTCAGTGAGCTGCTCTGACAGGCTGACCCTGGACTTGCCTTCTTGACCTCTGGACCCTTCTGCCAGACTTGGCACTCCCTCCCTCACTGTTGCATCTAACAGATCGAGGCAGCTTTTTGCTTTGGAGAAAAGGCTCTTCTAGACCGGGGTGATGGCTGTCTGGGCATTGGATCGGAAATGCCTTGCAGGGTCTCCCGGTGCGGGGCAGGGCCTCGCTCTTGGCCGTCTTCTGGGGTTCTTGTTGGGTATGTAGTGATCAGAGGGCTTAGTGGGTCTGGGCACCTGATGATCTGTTCCCAGTGAGACTGTGTTTGCTGATAATCATCCCCATCGAGGTCTCCGTCCTCAGCCACTGGAACACCTGTTTCTCACCTTCCTTAGTTTAGGTTCGTGTACTGAGTTTGCAGGCTTTGTGTGGAGAACAACAGAGTAGAAAGGGAGTGAGGAGTATTCTCTAGCAGGTGAAACATGCATACCTGTTCTTTTAAGGTATCCTTTGTGTGCTGTTTCATTTAAAGCCTCCATCCACAAAATGCCATGTTGCTGCCTTCCATCATGCTGCCTGGGTGTCTCGGGACTGGTTACTAAGGGAAAAGGCTGAGCAGACATCAGGGCCAATAAAACCAAAGGACTTGGAGCCCAGAGCCCAAGTAAGGGAGAGGATACAGTGATATATTATCTAGCCAGAGGACTGTGGAGAAGCCATGGGGGCAGAGAAGAGGCCAGGGTCCTGGGCACAGATCAGGCCAGCCCTGTGTCTCTTATCTGTGTGGGGACCAGAAATGGGCTCAGAAGTCCACCCGGGGACATTGGAAGCCCACTAATTTTGGATTATCTTCTGGAGGTGATGCAGATACAAAGTTTTAATTTTCATTGATGTTTAATATTTCTAAAACAGGAGGGGAAGACCAACATATAGAAATGAGAGGCCCCTCGGTTGAAGAATTTTGGGAACTGCGGGTATTGGTTGGGCCGGGCATAGCCATGGACCTCCTCAGTTCTGTCCACTCTGAGGATCTGTTCAACAAGGAAGCTCTGCCCAACACAGAAATGGTCTCTCTGCCCCACTGGGGAGTGCCAGGCAGTCACACATAGCCCATCACTGCCCGGGTCTTGTGTGCTCAGCCCCTTTTGCCTGGCCCTGCCTCTATGCCCGGGCAGTTTCTCTGCTCCTCCCTTGTGGATGGACATGGTGGGATTCTTTCTGACACTGGAGCAGCTTGGTGTTGATAATTCGGTTTTTATGCTCAGACACGGCAACTTTGGAGCAGCTCTTGGGCATGTGTGGAGCCCATGTGAGAGTCCCTTGGGCCTACCCAAGGTGTGTGCCCATTACCTGGCCTGATGCTCCTCTAAGTCCATGTGTGTTTGCCGCAGCTGACCATTCTCTGTGCACTGTTTGGTTGGTGTTGAATAATACTCACAGATTCTTTTTCAATGCAGTGTCAGAACATGATATACTGTATATCGGAAAGTATTTACCTTATTTATCTACCTGAATGTTCCTACTACACAAATAAACACCTATTACCTTCTAGATCCTGTGTGGTTTTTGATGCAGGGCTGTCGACCTGACCTGAGATTGGGGTGGTTGGTTGTGTGGAACCTCTCAGAATGCTGCCGACCAATCCCTGCTTCTAGAGACGCCCTCTGCTCTTGGCAAGCTGCTCTCCTCCTGTTCTTGGCTATTCCTCCTCAGCTGCCTTTCTGGGCACCTTCTGCCCACTGCTTAGAAGGGGCACTCTGCCCAAGTATCTCCTTACTCCCTGAATTCTCCCAGCCATTCTGGCCCACTCCCAGGGCTCTGATTGCCACACTCAACTTCTGTGGTTCCCAAGTCCATGTCCCTAACCAATGTGGGCTGTGAGTCTTTGTGATGTGGACTCTGCATGATCAAACCCCCACCCTGGCCCCATCCTACACCCACCCCACCTCAGTGCTATTAACCCCAACCTGTGCTGTTACACAAGCTGGTAATTAGGAGGGAATCTCGACAGCAACCAAGGCCTGCCTGTTCTGCCTTCATCCTGGCTGCCAGCTTCTCCCTGCAGCCTGGCCACCTCTGCTGATCCCTTCCTTACTCCAGCTGGAGTGAGCTTTCTCTGCTTGGAATCCTTTGGCCTTGGGTCAAAGTTCAGACCTAATGAAGTTCCCCAGGCAGCCTGACCCCACGCTCGGCCTACCTCTCACAGCCACATGCTGGGCATGTCCCTTTTATGTCCCAGGTGCTCTGTCTTTTGGCCTTCAAGCACACCCATTTCTCTGCCTGATTTCTCTGCTTCCCAGCTGCCCTCAGCCTGCCCAGCTCCTTTTCACCTTGTGTCCCACCATGAGTGGCACCTGCTTAGGGAGGCCTGTGTGCCCCCCACCTCTGTACTCTGCTTCCCTGGAGAGGCCATGGGCCCTGCTGGGAGCGTAGAGGGTCCTGAGTAGTTGGAAGTCCTGGGTGTGAGCAGGCCAGTGGGCCTGAGCTGATGCCTCAGGCTTGTGGGACCTCCGTGTTTGCTTTTTGGGTAGGGGCCTCTGCCTTTCTTGTCCACAGGGTCCCTGGAGGTGGTGAAACTTCTGGAAGGAATTGCTTCCTAACACTAAAGGTGTAAAAAATACTGCATTTATTTACTTTCCTAAATCCAATAAAATCAGACTCCAAGCCACCAGTTTGCAAGATTGATGAGAATGTCTGATTGAAGATTGATGTTTGGGAAAGGCCATTAAAGCAAAGGCCTGAAGGGAGGGTGGGTAGAATTCTCTAGAAGGAAGACCCAGGGAGAGGGTAGGGATTCTAGTCAATGGGAACAACGTGGGTGAAGTAGCCCCTGAGGAAGGAGCTTGACTTGGCCGTGATGGCAGAGGGGTGACATAACTGAGCTCCAGACCAGGAGGGGCAGGGGCAGGTTTGTGAGGACCCGGGAGTGGCACCCCCTTTCTCCAGGAGCAGGAACTGGGGAGCCCCCGGGGTGCCATGTAGCAGGATCCAAGCACTCATGTGGTGCCAAGGACCTGGAGCCCCTGTCTCCGGGCCAGCTGCCAAAGGTTCTTGTTCAGGCCTGTGAGATCCATCCACTCACTCCCAGGGGGCCCCAGTCTGTGGCCCACCTTCCCTGGGCCCTGCACAGGTGCCTGGGTCTGGTGTTCTTCCACCTCAGAGCCCCTGTGCTCTGGCTTTCATGATCCCCATGCATTCAGTCAACACTTGTGGAGTGCCTGCTCTGTGCGAGGCCCCGTCTGGACACTGCGGATACAGCAACAAAGCCCATGGCATCCCTGTCTTCATGGAGCTCATTTTAGGAGGGTGGCAAATGTGTGAAAAGGAAGCCTGGACACATGCAAGTGTATTTTTTTTGGAGGTCCCAGTCATTGCATTGTGGACAAATTTGCAGTCCCTCATGGGCTCTCAGTTACTGGAGAATCTCCCAGGAACCCTGTGGTTGGTAGCTTCCTGAAGGTGCAATTTAACTTTTAACTTGAAGTAACTTCAGACTTTAAAAAAGAATTCCATACGTACATCACTCACATTCCCCAGATGTTAACATTTCATCGCATTTGTTTAATTACTCCCTCTCTCTTCACACACACACACACACACACACACACACACACACACACACACACATACACACACTTCTGAATTGTCTGAAAGTTGCAGAACCTTTTGAACTGTTCTGTAACCTTACTCAGATTTCACAATTATGTTCTTCATAGCAAAGTAGTATGTACGCTTTTGACCAATGTAGTTTGAGGGACTTTGCTGTGACTCTGAGAAACAGAACTACCCTCCCTGCCTCCTCCCTGCTGGCCTACCCTTTATCAGGTGAAATCAGATGAAATCGCTGAGGGCAACTGTCCTGGCAGCCTTTGTAAAATGTGGTGCGCAGCAGCACAGTATGGCAGTGCTGCCATGTGCCCAGCAGAGGGTGACATTGGGTCACAAGTGAGGCGCGGGGCTTTTTACTAAGAGACATAGCTGGGTGGATTCCTGGCCCAGGGGTCACTAGTTTTGTGACCTTGAACAAGGCACTGAGCTGCTACACAATGGAATCATTGAGAAAATATGCAGAGTACTTGTCCAGCACCTAACACCTACTAATCACTCATCAAAAACTTCTTTTTGTCGTATTACCACGTTGGTCTGAGAAGTGAATTTCTGGGGGATACAGGGGACAGAGCTGGCCCCCACACTCCAGTGGAGGCAGGGGCAGGGCTGGGCACTGAGGCTGGTGCCCAGAGAAGGAAGGGTGCACTTGGGAAGGGAGAAGTGAGGAGAACTCAAGTTATAACTGCAGCTGAGTTGGGCACCTCAAGTTCAGTTGAAGCTAAAATTCATTCTGGAATGATGGCTGAGCAGGTCATGGCATTGTCCAGACTCCCCCTGTGCAGGAATCCCCCTCCACAGCCATCCTGAACAAATCCGTGAAGGAGGAGTGGTTTGTCCTCCTGTCTGTGTCGGTCGGGAGAATGCCTGAGCTTGTTTCCTGATTCTATCCTTTATTGGCTGTGTGACCTGGTGGCTTTGGACAAATTACTTAACTTCTCTGTGCTTTAGTTTCTTCCTCTGTAAAATGGGGGTAATAATAGTGCCCACCCCATTGGTATTGCTGTAAGAATTAAATGAGTTAATACTTGGAGAGATTAGATTATTTCTAAAACCAGTGAATGAAGGGAAACAATCAGACATTTATCCTGCCTTTCCTGAACAACCTGTACCATTGGAATTAAATGCCTGTTGCTTAAAGGTGAGCCAATTAGCAGCCCAGGTAGTAATTTAAAAACATAAATAAAGTGAAAGAAGAGAAGCTTACCTTGCTGAGCATCCCCAGAAAACATATCTCCCCACAGAATAATTGATATTTTTTTGCCTGGCCTACAGCAGCCTCGCTGGGAGATGTGGTTTGGTGGTTGAGGGATGGGAATGGAGGGTGAGGAAGGCAGATCTCTTCTGCTTCACTGACAGCTGACGTCTACTATCAAGTGCTAAGACTGTGAAATTGGCCATCGGTGATGAGTAAGACTCTCTTGAGTTCTGTGGGGACGGGATGGGTGGTGGCACTGAGAACATAACCAGAGGCATTTTGGGAAATGGTGAAGTTGCTGTATAGAGCCTTGGCCTAATCATCCCTGAGTTCAGAGAGAGTTCCTTCTCTGTGTTTCCCTCTTCTCCCTGGCCCGCTTACTGCCCTTCCCTTGCTTTATACTGTGGGCCTGAGGCCTCAGGTACTGAAAGGAGTCAGAAAAAACTCATTGGCCTGGTATTATTTCTTTATTTGTTCAGCAAAAAAACCCCAAAACAAAATGAAACAAAAAACCCAAAAATTAATTATCCAGAGATAGACTTAAAATGGACCATTCAGCACTGTGGGAAGGATTATTAATAGCTAATCATCAGTGACATTTATGAAAGCTTTCCATGGACTAAGCAGTATACTTGACCCTTTTTTTTGTACCATTTCCTTTAATTCTCATGACATCCCTATGAGCTAAATATTATTCTGCTTATTTCCTAGATTATGAACCTGGTCAAGTGTATTGTTAAGGATCTCAAGAGAATCCTCTTTACAGGTCCTGGCCCCTCAATTCGTTGTTGCTTGGCAATAACTCTTCCTTATTCTGTTATCAAACTATCTCCCAATTTATTTGAGGCCTAGTTAAAAATATGGCTGATGGCACTTGATTATAAGGTGCTGAGAAAGTGAATCGTGTTTTGGCTATATATTCATTAAGAATTGATTGTGGCTACTTATGCCTCAGGGCAGCACCCTCTTGATGCCCAGCCACTCGAAGGAGGGTTAGAGCTATCACTGGTTGGCCCAAATAGAGAAAACTCAATGACTAACTTTCCGGAGTGGCCTGAGTCCCAGCACACAAATCTGTCCATGCCATAACTCTTGCAACTGCTGACACCTCGATGGAAGACTCTCTTCCCATCACAAGAAGGTGCCAGCTTCTTGGGAATGTTCAGATTGCTTTTCCTGCGTTCAACAAATGCTGCGCCCTGACTGGAGTGGTGAAAAATAGAAACTCCTAGTTTTCTTCTTTAGCTAGGGACCCTCCTCTTTCTTTCTTATTAGTTCTCAGGGGGCTGAGAGGTGGCATTAACCTTGCTTAACCTTTCATTTTAGGTTGAGTTTCCTCTAGGTTCTTAGGGGATGTGAGTGCATGCAATTTATTTGGGAGATGCTCCTGGAAAGCCAGAAGTGGATGAGCAAGTTTGAGACAGATGAGGAAAGAAACCCAATACATGGTTTGCTAAAGACTGACTTATCTCTGACGAGCTAAGATGTAAGAAGATGACTAAAAAATATAGTGAAAAAGATCATTGAAGAAATGGTGATGTCACATTAGAAAATATTTACATAGTGTGAAAGAAAGCAGTAAAGGAGAAACAGGACAAAAAAGGTGAGACATATAGACAGCAAAAAGTATAATGGCAAATGTAAATCCATCTATATCAATAATAACACTGGATTATAAAAAAAGGCAGTGATTGTCAAATTGGATAAAGAAAACATGATCCAACTATAAGCTGTCTACAGGCGACAATCTTTAGATTAACAGACACAAGTAGGTTGAAAGTAAAAGAATGGGAAAGATATATTATGCAAACAGCCACCAAGGAAGTTGGAGTGGCGATACTGCTACTACTCAAAATAGACCTTAAAATAAAAAATGTTAAATGGGCCATTTTATAATGATAAAAGAGTCAATGCTGCAGGAAGCCATAGGAAGTATAATATATATTCACCTAACAATAGAGCCAAAAGATGTATGAAGCGAAAAATGATAGAATGAAAGGAAGAAATAGACAATTGAACAATAATAGTTGGGGACTTCAACACTCTACTTTTAGTAATGGATATACCATCTAGCAGAAGATTTAGGAAGTAGAAGACTTGAACAACACTATAAACCAACTATACTTAACGGACATCTCCATTCCACCCAGCAATAGTAGAATACATATTCTCTTCACACATGGACCACGCTTCAGCACAGACCACATACTAGGAATAAAACAAGACGCAATAATTTAAAAGGATGGAAATCATACAAAGAAAGTTCTCCAACCACAATACAACAGAAAGAAACTAGAACTTCACAAATACATGGATGTTAAACAACAAACTCCTAAATAAGCAATGTGTTATTCACAGAAGAAATCAGAAGGGAAATTAGAAAATACTTTGAGATGGATGAAAATGAAACCATGACATACCAAAAAGTAGAGATGAAGCTAAAACGGCTTAGAGGAAAATTTATAGCTGTAAATGCCTACATTAAAAAGGAATTCCATCTTAAGGTACTAGAAAAGGAAGAACCAACTAAAGCTAAAACAAGTACAAGGAAGAAAAGGTGAGAGAGGAAATTAATGAATAGAATAGAAGAATCAACAAACCCAAAAGTTTGGGTTCTTTGAAAGATCAACAAAATGGACAATGCTTTAGATAAAGTAGTGAAGAAAATGGAAAGAAGGCTGAAATTACTATAATCAGGAATGAAAGAGGAGACATCACTACCAACTTTACAGAAATGAAAAAGACTAAAAGAAAATGATGAATAACCTCATGCTAGCAAATTAAATACACGAAATGGACAAATTCCTACAAAGGCACAAACTACCCAAACTACCAGGAGCAGACATGGTCAGCTAAGAGGCTACTGCAGTAATCCAGGGAGGGGTGGTGATGGTGGCTTGGAGGGGTGCTTGGACCAGGTGGTCAGGCTGGAAAGGGAGAGGCGTGAGACCCTTGGGATAAAATTTAGGAAAGATTAGTTGAGCTTGCTGATGGATTGGATATGGGGTGGTGAGGGAAAGAGGCATCCAGACGAGTCTTAGATGTGAGCCTTGTCCAACAGGTGGACAGGGTGCCATTGTTTTCTCCTAAGAATCTTAGTACTTAGTTCTTGAAGGTGGTTATGGAGGTGCGGAGAGATTTGAGGGAGTGGGAACATAACCAGATGAAGGTTGGGGGGAATGTTTCCGAGGGAAGAAGACATCTGAAACATGTCTCCCTTTCCCTCTCCCTACTTTGGAAATCAGAACTTCTCGTAGTAAACTCTTACGCATTTGGGAGTTGATAACATTGGCCAGGGCCGATTGTTCGCTGCATCTGTTTCTGTTACCTTTGTTTTGACAGTCTCTCTTTCACTGGCATTTGGTGGGCGTCAGCATAATGAAGTTTGCAGAAATAACAGTAGTTCTTTTTCTGCCCACTGAGTGGTAATGATTTGAATCTCATTTGCATATGTTAAATTCCTCTGTAAAAATTACTTCCTGTCTACACAGGCGTCTGAAGAATAGACTTGGAGACTTAAAGGAAAAATCAACTTTACTCGTCCTTCAAACAGCTGCTCTAGGTTGGGCTTCTCCAGAAGAAGATCCTAAGACAAGTTTATTTGAAAGTGAGTTCAGGACAAACCTTCATGGGAGTGGTATGGATGGGAGACGGAGAAGTGTGTATTAATGAGCAGGTTGCTGTCGGGGACAACTAGGGCTGAATCCCCTGCAGAAATTTGGGAGACTACGAAGAGCCCATTCCACAGAACTGTCGCCACCAAGAGGTGAGGAAGATCCTCCAAACTGCTTTGTCCCTGGTTGAAGAGAGTATCTGGGGGCATCGAATCCTCCAGTTCATCCTACCCACTTTGCCAGATGGCTGAATCCACTTCTCCAGCCAGAGGTAGCTTTCTGATAATGAGGGACAAGCCTTGCTATAGGAAGCTATTGCATGCTCGGGTATGGTGAGGACCAAGGGGATATGGGTGGGTCACTGACATCTGGTACAACAGCTTTTAGGGAAGGCATGGGCTGCTGGACTGGGTGAGCATGCAGGTGGTCTTTCCAAGCATGACATACAGATGACATTGTTGCCTGTGGTAATTTTGTGGGTTGCAATCCCCACAACAACTTACAAAGAGTAGCAAAAGAATTTCCATAGTAGTTCCATCTCAAAAAGAGTCCACTAACTGCTGATATTTCACTCACCTATTCTGTTCTTTTAAATAGCCAACTTGTACCTAGCCCGTGCAACTCTTGCAGAAGGTATGGGCTCATGGTGGCAGATCTTTTCCAGGAGTTCATGCATAAGCTATTAGATAATTGGCTGGCTTTAATTTATTGACACCTGGCTCACGTGGGCTCAGCCTGCTCGATACTGTGGCACAGACTGCATGTTACACAAGAGTGCTAGTGGATGGGGGCCAAATGCAGAACAGCTACACTCACCTAGTCCTACATCCAGTAAGGAGTTGTACCCAGTCTGTATGCATCTGGACAAAAGGAGTGCTTCCAGTCTGGAGGACGTTATCTTTTTCTAATTTGCACAAAGTTGCCATGTTGTACAAAGTTAACAAAGTTGCTAAATAGGAAAAGTGAATTCAGAAAAGAATGAGCAGTATATCCACAGTATGTCATTAAGGCAACCATCAGGCACAATAAAGACATTACTGTTCAGTAGAGATAGGAGATGAGTCATAATTAGTTCTGGAAGCTGCCATGTTTTTTCCCACATCAGTCCAAATACACAACTACACTTTTGAGGACATTTAACTGTTAACCTAGAAGGACTAAATGGGAAGTCACATCAATTCTCTTTAAGAACACCTTCTATTTCAAAACAAGTCCAAAATAACCATTAGCCCCCTACTCTACAAATAAGGGCAGAAAGAAACACAGGAGCCTACCTGTTTGGTCCACAATATTAACCAGCTTTGGAAGGTGTGTGGATGTTGACTCCAGAGTCTCTTGCAATTCAATATCCAGTAACAAGTGAGTTATTTGGCCTCAAATATTATAATAGGCAAGCTGCAATCAGAAGTCCAGCTTTGGCACTGTATGGGAATGGACCCTCCATGGGGGAAAATAGTGGATGTTTCAGGTAGTTCTTTGCCATTGAGAAGAGAAACTAGGAGCGGGGAGTGATCAGATGCTACTCCTTTCCTCTCCAAGCCCACACCTCACACAGGCAGTGCCTATGTCTGGCTCTCTTCTTGCCATGAGGGTTTTTATGATGTGGATATCTAGAACACCACTTTTGGCACAAGTGCATATTTTTCTTACCCTTTCTCTTAAAAATGATACACTTTTCAACCAATCTCCTCTTATACCTTGTTATTACCTTGGAATGAGCCACTGTCATCTCACACCTAGATAAGCCACCTCATAATTGATTTCCCTTCCTCTGTCCTTGTCTTCACTCTGCTATCAACATAGCTGCTGAGGGACCCAGCTCGCTCACATCTTGTCCCTCTTCTGCCCGGAACCCTCTTCTTACTCAGTAAAAGCCAGAATCCTTACAATGCTTGTATGACCTGGCTTTATTTTCTCCTTATGTCCCCTTCATTCACTCAGTACCAACCCCACAGGCCCCTGGAATAGGGTGCTGTTCCAGGCACCTCCCACCTCAGGGCCTTTGCACTTGCTGTTCCCTCTGCCTGGATTGCCTTTAGCCCAGATGTCCTCACTGCTCACTCTCACCTCCTGTGGGTCTTTACCTGATATCTCCTTCCTCAGCCCACCCATCTAACAGTGCACACACCTACACTCCATATCACCCCCTTGCCCTTTCCTGGATTTTTCTTTCCTTAGTGCTCATCACTATCTAACATACCAGATCTGACTTATTTCTTTATCTATTGTCTCCTTCTTTCTGGAAGCTAAGATGCCTGAGGGCAAGGATTTTGCCAGCTTTGTTCCCTGGAGTGTCCTCATTGCCTAGAGCAGTGCCTGGGTCAGAAGTGAGTGCCCTGAAAATACAGATTTAAGTGTGAAGAATGGGAAACCCAGAGCCCAGAGGTGCTCATTCTATGAATTTTATCAGCAACCACCCCATGTGACCACTGGGATCACTTCCCTCATGGATTCCCAGGTGTGCAGAAGGTTAGCTTGTTCTGGTCACCCCTTCCGAATCCCCTGCTTCTATCTGGCTGTATGGGCAAAAGAAGCCATGATATCCCCTGGGCTGTGGTTTCCTGTAAAATAATGTGTTTGGGCTGGATGGTCCTGGGGCTCCTAAATTCTAAATTTAGTTTCCTTAATCTTAGATTTTTCTTTTTTTCATTTCTAACTTCATGTGGCCAACCTTCCACAAGACTGTATTACCAGGGTATTTAATGACCCTGCTTGGTGAGCCCCCGTGTCAGCTGCTTATAGTAGGTACCATCAGTGATCAGCCCAGCTCTTGGCACTCACAGTTCCAGGATGTGCCCACTGACTGCATTCCTCTGAAAGTGCTGGCACCTCTCTGCCTGTGCGTTTTCTCTCCAGAGTGGCAGAGGTTGGGAGTTCTGGGGAGTAGGTGTCCCTGGGAACAGTCTTCACCTGATGAGATGTATGAGTTGGTTTTGCCCCTCTTGTGGGCTGACTCTATGGGGTGTTCCATGCTGTCTCCCCTGGCTGCCCAGCAACTCTGAGCCCCAGCTGTCCCGGGTGGTATCCTATCCATCATCTCTTCCTGCCATACCTCTGTTACTCACTCTTCTCCCCTCACCAGTGTTTCCTGGGATCCTATCTCCAACAAGCTGATTGCACTCAAATCCTTGTCTCAGGGTCAGCTTCTGGGGGACCACCTAAGATGGTCTTCCCGGAGTCCTGCTCAGTTGCCCACTATGCCTCCTGCCTCCATGGGCTCCCCTTTCTATGGGATCGATTACATCCTGGCCCCATTCTCCCATCTATAGACCCTTCCTTCCACCATGTTGCTAGGACCTCTTTTGTCCCACCTCCTCTTCCAAAATACATATATTTTTTCTAGCCCCTAGCTGGCAACTCCCAAATCATTATGCTGATTGATTCAACTGATCTTTATCTTCGCCTCTCTCACCTACAAAATGTTCATTCACAGAGTATTCAGGGTAAGGCATACTCTCTTTTGGCCACATGTATGGTGATAAACAGTGATACAGACAAATTGTGCAAGACAATAGCAGTCCTTTCTAGAATTTCTCCTAAAGAGAAAAGATGAGGACCCTGGATTGACATAGAGCTTCACATTGTCTCTCAGCTTCAAGTATACACTTGAACTTTTAATTTTTCTTGAATATCTGGCATACAAATGTTAGCCTCCATGTCCTTAACTAGACTAGCAGCAGGGACAGGCTATGGAAACACTGAATTGGCTGCCTAGAGGCGAGGTGGACTTGAAAATAAATAATGCATTCCACAACCCCATGCAACACCACGTGTGGTGCCTTGAGAGATGTGCTGTGCCACCACCACGCCATGCTTCCCCAAGCACTTCTAATGAAGTGAAGGCCCATGGACCCCTGTGTGGGGCTGAGGGAGAAGGTGTAGGGAGGGTACACAGATCAGAGAGTTTTTGTCTTCCTCCCCAGTTCTTATCTATATTTGGCTACCCGAGACCAACTCTGCCTCAAAGACAAGAGGAGAAAAACAAACAAACCCAAAATTCAACTGACTGAAAGTCTGTCCACCTACACATCCAATCCTGGGATCCAGTCAGGTAAGTGATAAAGGTGTGACCACGTGATGGATTACATTACAGCCCTTACAGTCATGTTCTAGAGAATACTGACTTACAGGGATAAATTCTCACAATAGATTGCAGGCTGCAAAGCAGAATGTATAGGATGTCCTTATTCTGATAAATTATATAGGCAGATGTAAATTATAAATACATTTGTAAATTACTCCCATATACACAACACATGTTTATATCACGCATACATGTAAATTACTTCCACATAGAAATCATATATACAAAAACACAGGGAGAGGAGATATGACCATATTCAAATGGGTACATTGGGAGAAGGGGTGACGTGGAATTTTTGGAAAGGTACTGTTTGTGTGTTTCCAGTGTTTTACATTGACCATATTCTTTTCATAAACAGAAAAATATGTCAAGCAAAAGAATATTGTCTATCCTCCTGTTTCCATGAGTATTGACACAGATAATAGGAGCAAAACTCTCCTCCCAATGCCTCTCCTTCAACCTCATTGTGATTCTGTCATTCATACTAACATGTTTCACCTAAGCTGGAGTGCTGGTCAAAGACCGGGGTGCTGTTAAAAGGTCAGCAGACCTGAGACCTATGCTCCTTGCCCTGAGCCTCTACCCCATGTAGAAACAGCAGTGTGCCCTGAAAGTCTCATCAGGCCACCTCCCTGACTGGTTGTAATGGACCTTGCTCTTCACTGTCCTGTGTATCAGCTTAGCCGGTGGGAAAATTGCTTTAGTTCAGTGATGACCCCAGCCAACGAAAGCATTGCCCTGCTTCACCGCAGAGATGGGGCCACCTACTCGCCCAGTTAGGGCTCAGCCAGTTTTTACAATGATCCTCTTGCACTGAGGGATCACTTGTCTTGGCATCAGAAAAATCTGGATTTTAGTCCTAAGTTGAAATCTCAATGCTCTGTGCTGTGTAACTTTGAGCAAGTTACTGAACCTCTGTGAGTTTTACTTTACCCATCTGTAAAACAGGATCCATGAGAGGGTTGTTGGGAGGATTAGGAAAGTCTATAGCCCAGGGTCTGCTCTCTGGGTCAGTCACCACATGATAGTCATTATTTGGGTCTACTTCTGCCACTACTTCTACTTCTGCCATATACTATTTTTGACCTTGGGCTAGAACTCTTATCTTGCCGAGACTCAAGTTTTGTATTTATTTAAAAAAAACAAAAAATGACAAACAAACTTGCCTGATATTCCACATGGGATCAGGGTCCAGGTTAAGTAAGGTGCAAGTGAGAAATAGTTGTTAATCCTAAACCACTGTTTGGCCTTAGAGAGGACCAGAGGGAAAGGTGAGTGAGTCCTTTGTCAACTGGCTGCAAAAATAGCTTCAACCCTTCCTCTCCTTATATCCACACCCTGCGGCTATGTCGCTTTGTAGCTCCTCCTGTCAAGATGTGGACTTTATTTCTCCCTCCTTAAAATTGGGCTTGGCCATGTGATTTCTTTTGCATTGCAAACAGAAGCTTGAAAAATGATTGCATAATGAAGCTTGCCCTTTCCTGATGCTCTTGGGAATCCTACTAATACCAGTGTGTGGATGAGCCCATTGAAGGATGAACAACACATGCTCTGCTAACAGGTCCTTTATAGTCCCTGCCAACAGTCAGCCATCCAGCAGATGTGCAAGTGAGGTCATCAACCATGAGCTAACTGCAGCACATGAGGGGACCCAGCCGACACCATGTATGGCAGCGTCTCCACTAGCCCCACACATTTATCACACACACATCCCTTCATATCTACAAGTAAAACCACTCTCTGAATTATTGCCCTTATTAGTAACCAAGCACAGCTCACAGCTCTATCATTCTTGTTCCATGTGTATTTGTAAGCAAATGGCATAGTTCCAGGCAGAGCCAAGGTTCTTGCCTTGCTGGGGAGACCCATAGATGGATGATGTAAGCCAAGGCAGGATAAAAGGCTGGAGCAGCGGCTTTCTGAGGAATAGTTAAAGCAGGTTTCTCAGTCTCAGCACTGTTGACACTTTGACCCAGACAGTTCCCTGTTACATGTGTGGGCAGCTGTCCTGCATAACATAGGATATTTAGCAGCACCCTGGCCTCTAGACACTAGATGCTTATGTCCCCTGTCCCCCACAGTGTGACAACCAGTAATATGTCCACACATAGAGGTCCCCCAGTGGGGGGCAAAATTGCCCCCTAAATCTGCACAGAATTAAGGGAGAGGATTCTGAGTAGCTGTAGGCAGTATGTCTGGGTAATGGTGAGCAGCTGCCCCAGAGAGGGGGCTTCACCCAAGACCCATGAGCAGGACTGGGAGGTCAGGAGGGCTATTCTGGGGCTCAGTGCTGGGGTTATTGAGCCCCTGTAACCAGGCTCTGCACCTCAGTTTCAGGGTGACATGAGCTTTGAATGATCCAGTTTGTGATATACATCTCCCCTTTCTCTCCTGCCACCCCTCCCAGACCTCAGAGCATGCCACCTCACCTCTTCACTGCTACTCCCACCTGTGACTGGACAGGGGAAACTAAGACTTAAGAAACTCTGGGCAGCCAATATGTTTTTGCTTTCAGGATTGGGGGAAGGGAGAGGAAAGGAATTGAAATTGCCTTGTGGGCACTTCAGCCTCCTCAGCCCTTTGTCCCCATTATGGAAAAGGTAATTAAGACTTTGCTTTCTTTCCATGAACAGTGACATGGACCTACAGCAGTTCCTTACCAAAAAGCAACTCACAGCCAATTGTTTAGAAGATGGTGAAATCATTGAGCTGTGCGTTTTCTCCACACAACACCACAGAAATCAATAGCTGTTTGAGTACTTCATCATAATCTGGTAAGTGTTCAGTAAATCTCTGTTGTAGTATAGTTACAAAGCCTTTGTCCATCTGTGACATATTAATATCCCCTGATGCCATTACAGAGTAAAGATGTCCTATAAACAGAAGACAATGTGCATGCCTGCTCTAATAGCTTGTCTCTCCCACTGTTACTCAAACCACCCTAATGCAGGAACTCTCAGATATGGAATTCTTAGCGAAACAAAGCCTACTTCTTGGCTGTATAACCACCCTGATATGGGTGTGGGAAATACACTAAGGAAATGCATGAATGTAAGCATGTTTCTACAGATGAGGAACATTAGATGAATTTGTTTTTATTGGTGACCTCTGGGCACTGGGGATAATGAAAGACTATGGTCAGGGATTTCTAGCAGGACTGGGAGATGAGATTTCCAGGCTACAGACATCCTGGCTTTGGAGAGCTAATGAATATAGGTGACTGTGTTAATTTGTCATGAGAAAGTACCACAGACTGGGTGGCTTAAACAACAGAAATTTATTTTCATACAGTTCTGGAGGCTGGAAGTGCCAGATCCAAGTGTCAGCAGGGTTGATTTATTCTGAGGTCTCTCCTTTGTAGGTGGCCGTCTTCTCCCTGTCTCCTCACATGGTTCTTTCTCTCTTCATGTCTGTGTCCTAATTTCTTCTCATAAGGACACCAGTCATTGGATTAAGGCCCACCCAATGACCTCATTTAATTTCTTTTAAACTAAAGTATCATTGCTATACAATCTTATATTGGTTTCAAATGTACAACACAGTGGTTCAACAGTTACCCATATGATTAAATCTTCACCCTCTCTAGTGCGGCTACTATCAATGTAGAAAGATGTTATAGAATCATCGACTATATTCTCTATGCTGTACTACTGTTCCCATGACAAACTTCTATTATGATTGAGAATTTTTGTGCCCTTTTATCCCCCTCACCTTCCCTATCCAACCATCCCAGTTCCTCCCCCTTAGTAACCACTAGTCACTTCTCACAGTGCCTATGAGTCTATTGCTGTTGTGTGCCTTCTGTTTTGCTTTGTTTTTATATTCCACAAATAAGTGAAATCATATGGTGTTTGTCTTTCTCTGCCTGGCTTATTTCACTGTACATAATACCCTGTAGATCCATCCATGTTGTTGCAAATGGCAGGATGTCTTTTCTTTTTATGGCTGAATTATATTCTGTTGTGTATATGTACCACCTCCTCTTTATCCATTCATCTACTGATGGACACAAGTTGCTTCCACATCTTGGCTATTGCAAATAGTGTGGCGATAAACACAGGGGTGCATGTATCTTTTTGAAATGGGATTTTGTTTTCTTCAGGTAAATTCCTAGGAGTGGAATTACTGAGTTAAATGGTATTTCTATTTTTAGTTTTTTGAGGCATCTCCATACTGTTTTCCACAGTGGTTGCACCAATTTACATTCCCACCAACAGTGTAGGAGGGTTCCTCTTTCTCCACATCCTTGCCAGCATTTGTTATTTCTTGTCTTTTGGATAGTGGCCATCCTAAATAATGTGAGGTGATACCTCATTGTGTTTTTAATTTGCATTTCCCTGATGATTAGCGATGTGGAGCATCTTTTCATGTCCCTGTTGGCTATACATATTTCTTCTTTGGAGAAGTGTCTGTTCAGGTCCTTTGCCCAATTTTTGACCAGGTTATTTGTTTTTTGGGTGTTGAAGCACATGAGTTCTTTATATATTTTGGACATTAACCCCTTATTGAATGAGTTGACTGTATTTAATCTTAACCTCTTTAAAGATCCTATCTGCAAGTACAGTAATATTCTGAGGTACTGGGGGTTAGGACTTTAACATATGAACTTGATGGGGGAAGGGGGCACACTGAGCCCATAACAATGACTATAGCCAGGCACACATCCTCTCTCCCTTTCTCTTTCATGCATGCATCACCAAGTGTACAGAATGCCAGATGCCCGTTATCAGCCAGTGCACCATCTCTCAGCTGCTGTAAGAATTGGCCGCAGGCTCACAGTTGCCCCCTTCTGTGCAGAGTTTTCCTTGTCCAGAAGCTTCCTTGCTCGAGAAGGTATGCCCCTTATCCTCTGGCAGCCCACAGCTAATGACCGACATATGAAGGGACAGAGGGCCAGCCCCCTGGCCTTAGGTGGGACCAACGATGTGGTAAAATCCATGCTTCAGGGCTCCCTGTGGACCAGGCTGACACTAGACTCTAGCTGATGACATCCTCACTCAACTCCTTCCCCTGCCTGCTCCTCCTTCTCTCAGTCCCCTCCTCCCAAGAGTCACCCTCAATAAATCACATGCACCTAAATCTTGTCTCAGCCTCTGCTCTTAAGGAACTTACCCAAAGACTGTGAATTTCAAAGAAATCACTCAAATGCACTTAACATGAACATTTCTCAAAGGCAATTTTGTTGTTGTTTGATGATTCAGAAGGCATTGCCTGACTGTGCAGTGTCACTGGGCACTTATGAAAGAACACCAATTACTTCTAGAGGTGGGAAGAAATATCCTTCAACAGAGCACTCCTATAACTAGAAGGTGAAATTACACATTTTAATTTAACAATAACCAGAACCCAGCATGTTTGGGTCCAGATGAAGTCAAATCTGAGAGCCAGAGGTCAGAATGATATCTTCTGTCAACACTGTCCACACTGGCGGCCACAAGCATAGGCACTTTGCTCTCATATGTGCAGCTTTTTTGACAGCATTTCACAGTGTTCATCTCATATAGATACATACAGGCCATCAGTGCTGAGAGGGTCTGTAGTCCCTCCAATAATAATACAGAGTTCTGTGATAGGTTGGATTTTGTTCCCTAAAAGATATGTTGAAGTCCTAACCCCTGGAGCCTCAGAAGGTGACCTTACTTGGCCATAATGTCATTGTAGATGTAATTAGTATGAGGTCATACTGGGGTAGGTGGGCCCTAATCACAAGTTCCATATGTTGTCATTGTTTTGTTTTTGAAGTCATGGAAAACCTGACTCAGAACTTGACAAAATTTCATTAAACTTAATGGCAAATATGTAGAAAGCCTCTTTTGATACTTCCTTGTTAAGAGTAAAAGATGAAAAGCTGCATGCCATGTGTGTAAAACCTTGCTCACTCTACCAGATAAAAACAATTGAAAGACGGTATGGAAACAATATGGTGGCAAAATTAAAATGCAGTTTTTGTTTAGAAAATACATGGGAGACATCTAGAAAATATTTCTGGAGGTTTGGAAAATATTAAACAGACTACACAGGTGGGAAATTTACAATACAGTCTGATAAAAGTACAGACAGATGTTCCTAATGTGTCCTATCTTACAGACCTTGTTAGATTCCGTGAGCAATAAAATGCAAGAGGTATTTCTTAAGGAGCTGTGAAAGGAAAGATGAACTAGATAATTGATTCAACATTAATTTTCTAATAAAACCAGGGTTTGATGAAGAGTAAAAATTAAGAACAAACAAACATACCTGTAACCACCAGGAATCATCTGCTTTGATTCAAGAGGGGAACAGAAAGGATTTTAGAGTGAGGATAGCATCTCATAAAAAGGAATCACCATTATTTCAGAAGTTAGGTGTTGCAGCAAAGGGGTGGAGCCAGGTATACTCCATTGATGTAGCTTGCTGAATAAGAACATTTTTAAAAGGACAAGCATGAAAATCATTGATGACACAAGAGTTCACTGGTTATCTTGTGGCAAAGTTTATAAAAGAGCCTTTAACTTAAAGATAAATTACAGTTTTCCTTTAAAACAAGCCAGACCTTTCACATTTGGGAGCCCCTCCTGGGACAAGCGACTACCAAATAGAATTGACAAACGAAAGTAGAGTCAGATTGTCTGGAAGCCAAGAAACAAACATGGATGAGTGAATCAACAAGGTTCACTTATCTCATGGATGGGGAAGGAAGCTGACAGAGTCAGAATTCACTTCAAAGAGAGTAGGAACATTAACTGAGCCACAGAGTGGTATAAATGTGTGTACTTAATCTCTCAGAACTATAGTGTCAGATGACAACATCTGATTAAACAAGGATTCCATCAGAACTTTTGGAAACTTAACTGTCTCTCTGGCTCAAGATTTTTATAGTAAGTTCTTCACAAGAGCCAGGAGCACCTCATCACTTTTGGAGTTTATTATATGCAATATTATTATAGGTTCTAGTATCCTCAGCCACGAACACAGCCTTTTGTGTCTCCCCTGGCCTCCCAGGCTAACACAACCTTTTCCAGACACATACCTGAATTTAGTGCTGTCTAGCTGTTTTTGGACTAAGAGGGACTTGAGAGACCTAACAACCCAGTGTAATGTGCAGTTCTTTTGTGGCTTTTGGCTCAGACAGAACAACTGCAAAAGACATTTTAGTGAAAACTGGGGAAATTTGAATATGGATTGGGTACTAGGTGATAGCAAGGAATCTTTATTCATTCTTTTAAGTATGATAATGGTGTAGTCCTTACTTGATGCATATGAAAGTATTATTAGGTAAAATGTCATCATCTGTAATTTATTTTAAATACTTTGGCAACAAGTTACATGAAGCATATCTGAGTAAGAATGGTTAAGTCTAGGTAATGGGTATATGGCAGATCATCACACCACTTTTTTCTGTTTTGTATTTTTTTTAATGTTCATAATAAAAACTTTTATAACAAATAAAAAAATAATCTGTACCATCAAGGTGAAAATGTTTTCATTTTGAGGAACGAAGCAAATATTTTTTGAAATAAAATATATGGGGAGAACATTTTCAAATTTTATTGTTATATTAATTTATTGATTAAAGAAACAATGGGTCATCTACCAACTTTCCTCCTGCTTACTTAAAAAATATTGGGAAAAACAATAAAAAAAGGAAATTAAGAAAACAATTCCAGTTGTGATAGCATTAAAAAGAATACAATGCTTAGGAATGAACCTAACCAAGGAGATGAAAGATTTCTGTGCTGAAAACTACAAAATGTATTTGAAAGAAATGAAAGACAACAGAAATAAATGGAAAGAG